TGCATAGAAGTAGGCAATTTTTGTTATGAAGAAAATTGGGTTGACAACATTCCGGTAAGTTTTAATTTAAATAAAATATATTAAGAAATAATAGCTTTGTATATCCTTTAATGGATTAATTAATGGATAAAGTGTATACCTATTAATGCGTTTGCCGATCACATGTCTGCCAAAAAAACTATGACAAACAGGGTTGTAATAATAACAGTAATAATATTATAAATATATTTTTTAATTTAATTTCAATTTAATTAAATTATATAATTTATAACCTATTTTAAATAATTATAATAACAAATTATTTATTTATTTTATTTATTTATTTTGTGATCCTTATTTGGCATCACTGTTTTTGTAATATATGTACATGTGTATTTAAATAAGGCAAACAGAAATGCATATCGCATATCTATATTTGTACTTCTGTTGTTTTCGATTCATAAATCTGCGGTAATTTTTTCAATTGAGATGTACTTTTAGTGCAATTTTATTTTCGATTGGTAAATTTGGGGTAAAATGTATAACAGTTAAAATTAATTTATAGCACTCTAGATATTTTACCAGAGTAGCAAGATTACCCTGAAATTGGGAGTTGTTTTATATGATTTAACAAATAAAGTGTAATTTGATTCAATACATATGCTTTTATGAAAAATATAAATGTCTACTAATACCACTACAAAAATGTTAGATTACTCTAAAAATGTTCGACTGGGTATCAAAATTTGACTGACCGAGAATAAATCTTGATTGCATCCAGATTAACCAATCGAAAACGCCATTAGATTAAAGATTGCCATAAACGGTCTAATATGGAGCTGAATGCATTAAATTAACATATTATTAAATAGAAAAAATTAAATTGCGCTTTAGAGTTATTTATAATTTTCCTTAATAGAAATTAAAAATACGTTAAACTGACGTAAAATCACAATATAAAAAAAAACAGATATGCATACTGAGTATTATCTCTGGTAGTAAAAGTCTTGTTTTACTATTACTCTCGGTCTTCAGAATAATTAGTTTAAATTATTTACTAAATAATTTGCAACAAACTTTAATCAATAATATAAATATATAATATGAAAAATATATATTGAATATTCTTTAGTTTTGTGGTATTTACACCAGCTAATTAAAGTAATACCGAAATGTTTAGATTAAAAGTTCTTTGAACATTGAAAGAAATTATGATTTCAACTGATTGATATTAGTCGACTAAATTAAATGTAGTAGCATTAAGTTAAAAACTATGGTAGATTTGAGGAAGTACATTACATTGAAGGTCTACATTTTCTCTTCATTCTACTATACACGACTGTCACAGCTTCTGATCTCTCATCGGTCCAACTTATGTATGTATATATTTTGTAAGTACAATTGTTGTCAAAATGTTTCCTGAGATACGTACGTACATATATGGGAGGGTCGGGTGGTGAATTGCATTATAAAATCCGTTGGAACAGAAGATGCATAAAAATTAAAACTACTATTTTTCAAGTTGTTATAATTTATGAAAGCTTATAACAACTCACTCCATTCGGTTTTATTTGCAGCACCCGCAAAAAATTATTTAACGAATATGGTGATTCCCCGTTCTCAGTTTTACTGTTGATCAAGTATTAGCTTTGACTTTTTAGTAATGTGATAAAAGGAGTAATAAAAAAAAAAGATAAATAACTTAATTTATTACAACTAATATTGTATTTAATAAGTGAAGATATTATTTTTTGCTTTGATTCAGAAAGATATGTTGAGATTCAAATTATACTTATGTATGTACATATATAAAACGTATTATCATAATATAATGGAGAATCGACATAGACACTGATGAGTAAAAATGCTTAAGATGCCAAGTCGTTTTGCATCAAGCAAAGAAAAAAGTGCGTAGTTTTGGTTTAAAAATATTCAATACATTATAAGAGCAGATTTTGAGTCAGCGTCTATACTAGCAAGAATTTGGCAATATTTTTATGTTGAAAAGTGAATATGTATATTATTTTAAAATTCTGTCGCTAATAACAAAAATGTGCTGATACATTTACATTCATATGTGTATATATGGTTAGTGAAAAAGTGAATGTGGATGCAAAAATCTTACCAAAGTCTAGTTAGTGTTGGGAAATTAATATATGGACGATCTCATTTGTGAGCGTCCACTGTAGAATCATATAATTTCTTGTTTACACACTTAAAGAGGATAGAGTTAGGTAAATTTTTGGTGTGAAACTGCCCACATGGAACACTTAGCGTTTTACTTTGTTGCAGTTTTTTCATCTCACCTTGTATATATTGTTAAACCAGTAGAAATCATCCTGACGAAGATAAAGTAAACTCAATCATTAGTTGGTCTTCAATAGAAAAGAAGCAAAAAGAAGCAGATAGGAGGATGGCAGCATTAAAAGCAAATATCAGGAATTGGGGATGGAAGCATTTTATTGGGATAAGATATCTTCTGATCTATTATTTTTCTTATTTTTAAATAATGCTTTCATTTTTCTTTATTGTTCTCTTTTATTAATAATAATAAATTTTATGTTTGAAATTTGCGACTTGTAGGAACAATTACTCCAATTTCAGCAATTATTGTAAATAATTGATTTGTTATCCGGTTTTTTGCTTTACGTTCTACTTTTCCGGGACGCAAAGCGTACGTTCTACTACTACGCCGTTAAGCGAAGTATAATTGATAAACAGTAAAATTTTTAATAATGTCAAAGCTTGGTATTTATTTATTTTATTTATTTATTTGTGAGTTAACATTAAAATTAATTATAAAGTTAACTAATACTATGTTCAGACCCACCTTAATTTCTCAAAAATTTTAATTTCGTCTTCGTTTCAGCGAAACGTTCATTTTCGTTGAAATGAAGGCTTAAATTAAAGGACATTTTAAATGCAACTATGCGTAAGATAAATTTAAAGCAAAAGATAAAGTTGAGATAACAAAAATGTGACATTTTTTTAAATATATGTCAGTGGCAGTTGATTTTAATAAAACCGGGAAAATATTTTAAAAGTAGTGCAAATTAAAGAACTGTTTTCAATTTGAAATAGAGTGAAAAAAAATAATTTATAAAACTAAAATCCACTAATACTATATTCAGACAGCCAAATTTCCTTTATTTGGCCGTCATTAACTTAATGAAATTAAGTTAATTTCGAAAGTGTTCATACTACCCTAAATTAAGGAAATCATATGTTTTTTGCTTACAAATCGAATATTAAAAATTACATGCTCCAAACACCATTTATATCTGGAAAAATGTTGAAAGTTGATTATTATAACTATAAAGGACAACATTTAGTAGTTTCATTAACTTTAGTCGATTTCAGGTATGTGAGTACAATATAGACCAGGGCTGTCCAAAGTACGGCCCGCGGGACACATGCGGCCCACGGCTAATGTTTGTGCGGCCCGCGACATATTTTTAATCTACTATAATTACTTTTGTATACTTTTGGTATACTGGTAAAACTAATTTATTTTATTTTTATGGTATACCAAATAAATGAATTTAAATTAATAAAACTGAATTTAACATTATAATCGTATTTAATATAACAACTATGAACGTATATATTTATTTCTGCGATCCTTCAATCTGTACATTAATTTGTATAGGCCCGCGATCGCATATGGTCTGGACAGCCCTGATATAGAGATGGAACAAATAGGATGATGTATCGTAAAACTGATGATGATTCTCAAAGAGAGTCGAAATATATAGTATAATAAAAAATATTATACGTTTAATTATTTTTAACAAGAAGGGACAGATTAAGGACAGCCAGATTTAAAACATATAAAAAAATCATTGTAATAATAAAATAATTAAAAAAATAATAAAATAATTTTATATATTTATATTTTAGTTTAAGAAAATCTTAAAATTTATGTGATCCACAAGTTAATACGATATGTGATATTACGATATTTGAATTCTCTTATTATAATCGTTATTTTACATATAAATTTAATGTTTTTAATAAGTTTAAATAGTAACATTGAAGTAATAATATTTAATAGACATTATTTGTACTTTGATTCCATAACAAAAAAAAAAAATCAATTTATATGCAAATTATTATGAAAATCTAAAACAAAAAAAAAATAAAACGATCTAAGTAGCAAATAAGAAAATGATTTTTCAACATAAGCACAAAGCAAATAAGAAATCAATTACAAATAAGAATTAGTCACAATGAAGTGAAATAATCACAAATCGACGACGTCATCGCCAACATCTTATAAGAAAATATTGTGTATTATGTATTGTGTAGACATATGTACGTGCATTCGCGCAGTGGTTGAATGGTGGGTACTGATGACAATAACAAAAACAATCACGAAGAAAAAAGTTCAATACAAAAACGCTTCGGCCAGCAATTGCAACGATATCTCGCCAGAGTTGTAAAATTTATTACTGGAATTTGCTCTTCAGCAATGATAGAACAACAAAGCAACGAGCAACGAGCAATAAGCAACAAAATAACAACAAACAACAACATTTAAAGCAAGCCTACAAAATAATAAATACGAGTAATCATTAACATTACTCATTTGACGCTCGCAAGCAGGTTCGATTTTTAGTTTATTGAGAGCATTCGTTGTAGTAACAGTGGTAACGGGTGTTGTTGGTTAGTATTTGCCTTGCCATAGCCACAGCCATAGTCATAGCTGTGATGATGTGTTGAGTGTAGCACGAGAAGTACTCACTCGTTCGTATAAGCGGATCATCGACAAAGACAAAGCATAAGATAACAGCTTGTGTAAGCAAGAAACTGTGGTGTGCTGTGCTGTGCTCAGTTAACCAACCAACCAACTTGTGTGATAATTTTTATTCAAGCACACCAAAAGTACGTACACTTTATGCATGTGTACATTCGAATGGGTGTCAGTGATATGAATTATAATTGAAACTGGTTTTTTTTCTCAAACATTTTCTGTTGTTGCTCAAAAAAATTTAATAATAATAAATCACCAAACGGTTACAATGCCACCGAAAAAAGATTTAAACACGTCGATAAGCGCGGGTGCACAGAAAGATACCCGCACTAGCAATAATAATGCTTTTGCCAACGAATTTCATCATCGCACCACCACCACAGCAGCAGCTAGTGCGGCAGCAGCAGCAATTAACGCAGCAGATCTCGTCGCAGACAGTCGCCATCAAATTTACTTGGCCAATGCTAAACTTTGTCGTTTGGTGCAACGCTGCCCATGGATGTATGATCGTAGCCACAGCGATTATGCGAGAAAGCACATCCTCGAGAAGTCCTGGGCGAAAATAGCCAAGGAATGCAATGATACAGGTAAATAAAAGTGAATTGAATACAGCGAGCGAGAGAGAGAGAGAGAGGGAAAGTGTGTACTCTCGCATGTGACAGGTTTATGAGAGCCAAAGCAAGTTTGTGCACTGTGTGTGTGATTTCGCTTTAGTGGGGAGTGTAGATTTGAGTGTGTGTGTGTGTGCATGTGGTTTGTTTACAGTTACTTCACTTCGTGATAAATAGAAAATCGTACTAAATTCAATGAAAACGTTTGTGATGAGATTTTTGTTATTCATACGTCGTTTTCTTGCTCAAACATGAACATTCATTCGTTGTGTAGAAATTGTTGCTGTTGTTGCGATGACGTTGTAAGCAATATTTTATGTGATATTTCACGTATTGATAATTCGTACAGACAACAATGCTTAAACCAGCAGAATAATTATAAAAAGTATTTATATTCAGTTTTTTTTTAAATATTTTAATATTTCTTTTTTGTTAGCAAATGAGTGAAATATTCTCTGCTGTGAGCTTTGAATAGAACTTTTTGATTATTGTGTTGGAGATATTTTTTTAAAGGTGTGCTAAATGTGTTTATTATTATTTATTATTTTTTTTTGTGTAGAAGAACAAATTCTGTATGAAGTTATTCTGTATGAATAATTTACTTAATAAAAAATTAAATTTTATATTTTCATCACTATTAGCCACTTTTCTATTCGAAGAATTAATAATGTGTCCAAATTAAATAAAACTCTTGGGCGTAAAATAAGCTCAAGTATTAAGTTTCTGAAAAATAAAATTTTTGATTTGAAAATTTCCTCCTCAGTCTAAAAAAAATAAAATTTCCTCACTATAAAAATTTCTTCATTATTACTTACTTTTCTATACAATAAACTGAAATTATGTCCAAATCAAATAAAATTTTTGGACAATTTTAGAATTCATCGTCATCATTAGTGGCGCATTGATCCTAGTTGAATCTTGGCCTCACATTGAAAATTCCTCCACGTATCTCTGCGCTATTATCTCTTCCCTATTTGTGAGCCACCTATTACAGTAAAAGAAGGTGTGCTCTGCGTCGTCACAGTCTCCATCGCCATAAATGCAGTCGGGCAAATCCATTTTTCCCATGCGGTATAGGTACTTACAAAAGTACTCCATGTCCGGTCAGCATCTGAGTGAGATAGTAATTTGTGTCTCCCGATTTTCGTTTGAGCCAAGTGATTATATTTGGTATCAATCTAGCTGTCCATCTTCCTTGCGTGCTATTGTTCCATCTTTGTTGCCACATTTCGATGGTTTGGTCCCGATCTTCTCTTGCCATTTGTTGAGTGTAGTCGCCGTTTGTTTTCCTGTTATATACTCTTTGGCGCTCCTTTGCTTGAAGATCAATTTGAGTTACACCTGCTATTACAAAAACTGCTTCCGCTGAGACAGTGCGATATGCTGATGTGATGCGTATACCCGCCCTTCTATACACCGCTATTATTTCTTTTCTGCGCGTTTTGATGTCTATTGCATCTGCCCACACTTCGCTACCATATAGAAGAATTATAGAATATTGGAGATTTTATGTATTTATACATATATTTTTAATTTTGATTTTTTAGTAAGCATATTTGAACCTAGTCTTTTATATAGTCCACCAAAGCATTTATTTGTTGCCTTTATTCTTACATTTATTTCCTGACTGCATTTATTGGTTGGGTTTATTATTGATCCAAGATATCTGAAGGATTCAACTTACTCGATATAATTCACTTAATAAAAAAAAATAATTTTAAATTTGAAAATTTCCTCACTGTTATTCTTTTTTCTATTTGAAAATTTCATAGCTATTATATCCTGTATATAGGGTATATCTATATACAAAGAATTTAAATTAAGATCAAGTTGATTAAAATTCTTAGTCCAAGAATGTGGTTAATCCAAGAATTTGTTTGACAAAAAAAAAATACTGGACTTGGTGATTTTTTCACCTTTATTAGAACAAACAAAATTATTGGACCGTATAATCAGCTCAAAAATTCAGTTTATAAAAAATAAAATTTTGAATTTGGAAATATCCTTACTATCATTTCATTTTCTATACAAAGAATTAAAATTATGATTAAATTAAACAAAAATCTTAGACAATATGGTATGTCCAAAAATAAGTTCGATAAAAAAAATTTTGGATTTGGTACGTTTTTTACTATAAGTACTTTTTTTATTCGAAGAACTGAAATTATAATCAAAACCAATAGCTATTGGGTCGTATAATCAGCTAAAGAATTGAGTTTATAAAAAATAAAATTTTGGATTTAGAAATTACCTCTCTATTACCTTCTTTGCTATTTAAATACTTGAAAATATGAAAAAATTAAACAAAATTTTTGAACCGTATAGTTAGTTAGAGAATTCACTTGATAAATTGAATTTTGGATTTGACGATTTCTTCATTAGTACTCCGTTTTATATTCAAAGAATTAAACTTATGTCCAAAACAAAAGAAATCTTAGTACCTTAGTTAATTCAAGAATTCGCTTAGTAAAAATACATGTCGGGCGTTTGACATGTATTTTAAATTTGAAATAATTTATTTTATAATTTAATTTATAAAACCGTTTTCTAAAGAATTGAAAATATATTCAAATCAAATGAACTTTTTGGACCAATAAAATAAATTTTGGATTTGGCAATTTCTTATTTCCTTTTTACGTGAAATAGATTCTTTGTCTTGGGACAAAGATAGTTTTTAGTTATCAAATAATATTTAATTTATTATGTTATATATTTTTATATATATAAATATATATTTTTAAAATATTCAAACACCAATTTCTAAAATTATTCTGTTTTTACTTGGAGTTTTTTTTAATTGAATCTTAAGTTTTTTGTTTTTTTATTTAAGAAAAATTGATATACAATTTGAACCCATCAAACTGCAATTGTTAAGAAAATACAGTTACCTTCCTTTTTGAAAATAAATCTCTTTGAACTAACTAAAAAATTTTTAGAAACTTCTTAAGATTTACCAGGAATTCACAAATGATTGACAAATGAATCGTATAGGAAGGTTCAAACATAACATATCGCAAAGTTGTGTCATTTTAGAATCTATACCATAAATTGTAGACGTACACTTATACTCGCCCTCATAGAAATGAGGCACTATACATTGTGACCGAAAAGTTTCCGGAAATTTTAAATAAAACGCAAAATTCTTAATCTTCATCAATATTTATTTTTTGTCCTTCAGGTATGCTTCATGATGCACCACACCACGAATATCGAAGAAAACAATCAGCATTGCCTTGATTTTCTAGCGCTTTGGTGTGGTTTTTTCGGTTTCGGCTTGTGTTTTCCGTCTTCTATGATTGTTGGCTTGTTCCTGTGAGTGGTAGTTTGATGTTGGTCACCCGTTATGATGCGTTGCATGACAGTTGGATCGGTGGCTGTTCATGTATTTCTAATGTGGCCTTCCACGTTGGTGTTTTTGAACAAATTGAGGTGAATCGGAACAAGCCGGGCGTTGACACGTCGCATACACAAATTGTCCACCAAAATCAAACGAGCCATCTCACGACCGATGCCTAGCTCTCGTGCTATCTCTCTAACACTCACATGAGGATTTTTGAACACGATTTCCTTTGCCTTTTCAATGTTTTCGTCGGTGGTAGAGGTCGAAGGTCGTCCAGAACGCGGCATGTCTTCGACGGTCGTACGACAGTCCTGAAAGGCTTTGTACCACTCATAAACTTGAGTTTTCGATAAAACTGATTCCCCATAAGCCTTTTGTAGCATTCGCAACGATTCTGCACACGAAATTTCGTTCGAAACACAAAATTTGATGCAAACTCTTTGTTCAATATTTTTTTCCATTGTTTTTTTCGCAACGCACTACTGAGGTGAACTGGTTTCAACAGCTGCCGTAAACGAACTGTTTGCCGATCCGCTCATTTTTGGCTATAGTATAGGACAGTGTGCCAACTACCCTAAACTTAAAATATCGAAAAATATACAGCGCGCGAATTTTAAATGAGAATTTCCGAAAACTTTTCGGTCACAATGTACATTCTTGTGATACTTGTTGATTTTAGTGGCGGTTGAGCTTTCCGATTTTTTCAAGTAGAAGCTGTTCTGTTACTCCATACCGCTTTATTAAAACCGAAATTTTAAAACAATGTTTAAGATCTATATTTGGGATATCCGCTATGCGCATCAGTTCGTAGAATATATATCTTTGGGGTGTCCGCTAGGCTCGTCAGTTCGTAGAAGATCTATATTTGAGATGTTCGCTAGTTTCATCAGTTCGTTCACTTTCATATTAGATTATTTTAATATTGTCAGGCCTAGGCATTTACAAAGAAAATGTTATAATTGAAAAAAACGGAAATGAAATATAAATAAATACGAATTAATAATAAAAACAAAACGGGAATAAATTAAATGTGAATAAATACTAAGTATATGATATTTAATTATATGTTGACGTTAACATTATATGTTATAATAATAATCAGTTTTGTAAGGCAAAGTAAACAATGTTATGATTAATTTCATTATATAAAAAACATAATTAAATGTACATATTAAAATAAGCAAATTGCACATAATTGAATAAACGTAATATAGAATACTAATCTACCTCCCTTCCCCACATGTCACATTTTGTCACAAATTGGACAGCCTCTATTTTCTTCCATTTGCGTTATATATTATTT